CTCTCAGGATCGCGCTGTCTCCTGTCACGGCCGCTCCAGACCCGTCACCATCTTAGAACCTAATCTACAGGCTTATCATTCTGTGTATTCAGCAAGGGTTTTAATGTTTCTCTGGGGGAACTGAGCAGGCAAGTTCCTTGTCTGAGGTCACAGGCATGGTGAGCAGCAGAGCTCTCATTCAATCCCCTGTCTCTTTCATAAAGGCCCTGTGATTTAGATACACAGCCAAGCCTGGCACTGTCCTAAAACCATGCAAAAATTTTTTAAAATTGCAGTGAGAATCACATCTAATTTTGAAAAGGTTCTCTCCAACATGAATATCCAACCAGACTTTGGAAGTTGTGTGAAATGAAGAATAATACTTCTTTAGCAGGACATTTCTGCACACTGCAGCACCTCAGGCATAACTGGCATCTGCCCAATAAAAGGTCAATATAAAATGCTGGACAACTGGCAAGAGAGATCCCCACAACATCTCTCACAAGGTCTCCCGTGCTGCAGCCTTCCTCATGAGGCCCAGCTACTGACCCACCATAACTTCCATGTCCAGCGAATGGCAGGATGACCTGCTCAGAACAGCACTCAGTGAGTGATTGCTTGAAATGCTTAGTGCATTTCTCATAAGTGACCTCAGTGTGGGATTAAAGGATTCCCTTGTTATTACATCTATAGGCATAAAACCTTTCTTGGCTGGGCCACACCAGTTTATGCTTGGCCTTTCCAGATGGTCATGGCCCAGGCTCGTGTCTGAGTTCCTCTGTTGTTTCTCCAGTACTCTGGCATCCTGAGGCTGGTCCTTCTCCACGAGGACGACCCCTTCAGTCACCTTCCTGGATATGCCCTTCATCCCTGGAATGCTACCCCAGGTCCAGACCTGAGCTTTATGATCAGCCCTTTACACCCCATGTGCTTAGAGAGGTTGACTGACTGACGTGTGTCATGCATGGGGTTAGAGTTAGTGCTGATGGCTTCAAAATGCTGTTAATCATCTAGCACTGTGCTGAGGAACTTTCACTCACAGAGATGCAAACCTACAGATGTAAGACATGTACTTCATGAGGGCCCTCAGATCTCAGTAACCACCTTCAATATGGGATGTCTCCACTTTACTTGAATGTAATCTAATTTCTCAGGAAAAAACACTTGTTCAAATCCTTCTTCTGACATCCCTTTTAATAATTCCACCTGAGCATTCAACTGACTTCTCTACAGAGGAAAAAACTATGTCAGAGAGCAGCAAAGGCTTAAATAATTTCTGTTTAATTCTAGAACTTTGAGCAAAGAAGCTAAGACCCACTTCTGTACTATGGCCTCAGGGGAGATATGTAGGAGGCCTGAAGCAAGAAGAAAGAAGGCCTAGGGCCATCTTGTTGAGCCTAAGACACAAGGAGAGCTCCACACACGAATGTCTTTAGAGCTTAGATGAGTTAAGATGAAACTCTTTTTCCATTCATTGCATTTGAATTAAACTGTACCATGTAATTTTGAGAAGTCTCAGGTGGTACCTGCCAGTAGTATGTGTTGTGGCTCCCATGGAAAACTGTGTGCAGAAAGGCTTGATGGTCTCCATGTTTATGTCAGTAGGTCAAGAGTAATATTGAAAAGGTGCCCTAGGTCTGAGGAAATTGCATATGACACACATCTCATTTCTGCACATGGCCTTGAGTCCAATGACCTCAAAAGAAGTTTTTACCACAAATTCAGAAGTCCTCCTGTGGGATAATATCTTACAATGTCCCTTAACAACAAATAAAAACTAAATAAGATTACCCCATAATTCAGTGAAAGTTATTAGCCATTTCCCCTAAAATGGCTGGATGGTCATGTAAGAGAAGTTTACCAAGGGCGGGGTGAGGCATTGGGTTATGCTAAACATAACAAAAAGAGCCTAGAAGCAGACTTCTTCTACAAAATCATACTGTGGACCTAGTCTGTTTTGATTAACCTAGCCTTATATTGACTCCTGCTTCATATAAATAAGCTGGTCCTCTCCCAAAGGCCTTAAATATCAAACGAGATCACTTGTGCTAGCTGTGGAACAATGGAGAACAGTTCAAAAATGCACAGAGGACACCTCCAGAGGGACCAATTACAACACATCTTAGAGGATGTTTTTAACTCAATTATAACTAAAGCACATGGCCATGAAAAGGACAGGGTATGATGGTCTCAGACGTCTCTCAGGACACTTGTAACAAATCTGATCGTCATAACACAAATATCACAGGAGCAAGGCAGGTGTCATCAATGAGTGAACACACAGGATGAGAGTCAGGAGGGAGGAGTGGAGTCAGTAAAGACCCCTGAGCTAGTGCCCCCTTCACAGAGGCAGCTGCTACTCAGCTCTCATTGCTACTGTGCCTTAACAGAGGCTCAGTGCACCAACCAACACCATATGACATTTTTCTAAGATGAGACAACAATACAAATTTTCTGTGTGAATTATCCCAACTTCAAACTTTAGCTTTCAAGTCCAAACTTTATAAATAACACTGTATATGCAGAAAAGAAGAGGTTTTAAGACAGATACACCCTTGTGCCTGTGGCATGTGGGTTTTGCCTCGTATTATAGACACTTGAGTACAGGTCTTTCTAGCAGTGTGGCTGTCAGCGTCACAGGGGCATACTCTATAGCTCACTCATCTTTACATTCTCATCACCTGTAAAACTGAATTCCACACAATATATGTAAAGAACTTGCTTCTTGATCAAAGATGTAATGAATTTGAACCAGAACAGGATTCATGGCAGAACCCTATTAGCTCTGCAGATAGGGTTCTTTCAAGTATCTGCATTAAGTCCAGACCAGGTCACCATTGTGACCACAGGTACATGAGAACATCGCTGGTAAAATTATTGTATTTTCAGGTGACAGGAATATTGCATGGTAGTAAAATATAGTACAAGATATTTTAAAGTCATATTAATTAATTTTATCAGAATTTTATTGTATTTGATATAAGTTTAGGGATCTAATTCCAGTTTTTCCACCTAGAAGGGGGATCGGTGATTTAACATTTCTTAGCACACAGGACTTCCCACCTGTGATACACTTCCCACCTCTGTGCATTTTCCCAAGCCAGTCTCTTTGCTTAGAAGGTCCATCCCTTCCCTAATGCTCTAGCAAACCCCTGCTCATTCTTCATAGTCCTACTCAAATGGAACCTCTTCTAGACGCTTTTCTGGACCCATTGGTTCAGGTAACTTCCTCCAGCCCATGTGCCCCCATAAAGCCACGTTCACCTGCATGCTGTTACGTCAGAAAAACATGGTGCTGTCCATGAGTGGGTGCTTTACTCATGCTAAAACTAGCCCCTGCTCTATCATGTTCCATGGACTCTGTTGCTCTACTCCCCAGTACCATTGTGGAGACTAGGCTGTCAGAAAGCCTGCTCCAAGAAAAGTTGTAGAATCTATGGTCGACCTACAGCCAGTGTATATTTTTTATTTACAGAGTTCATTCCAACTGGAAGACCTCTGCCCTGCACAGGACCCCTTGGAATCAGATTCCTTACAACAGAAGGAGCAGAGGATCTGTCCTTGGGAATCCATTGTTCAGCCATGTGATCACACAGGAAGGCTGACTGCACAATCTGTGGGTTTCTGCACGGCCAAAACTCAAAGCCCTCCTGGCTCTGCTGGTCCCAACCCCAGGGGCTGCTCTATCTCTACATTCTCAGGGACCAGCTGCCCCTGAGCTCCAGGACTACCAGTTGGGTCTGTTTTCACAGGAGCCACAGCACAGAGACTGGGTAAGACATTGAGCCCTAGGGCTGGGACAGGAGGGGCAGTGATGGGGCAGCCACTGAGGGAGGGTTGAGCAGAAGTTAGTGCCAGGAGGCTGGGCACACTTTGAAGACTGGAAGAAAATGAAATATGATGCAGAGTGACAGCAGAGGAGCCTTCAGGATGAGACAGAAAAGAGTGTGTCAGAAGTGAGACTGGATACAGGAGTAGTTACTTCTCTTCTTTTCTTGCAGGAAACGTGGTTCTAAAGCTGCACGATTCTCAACTTTGTCTGCTCCTGTTGGGGCTCCTGGGAATGCTTATTTCAGTCCATGCCCCTCTGGGTAATTTAACCCAGGGTCAGTGGTTTAACATCCAGCACGTAAATATGACCCTCTCCCCATGTGACGATGCAGTGAGGGCAGTGAATAGTCACAGAAGGATTTGCAAAGGACAAAATACATTTTTCTACACAAGTTACCCAACTGTAACTAGAGATTGTAACACTCTAGCACCTGTTACAATGGCAACCAGAACTGTCATCAAAGCAGAGTGTGGGTGCCTTTTAGCCACTGTAACCTCCCAAGGAATGCAGTGTGAACAAGATAAGGAGCAGCTGGCCATGCAGACAATGGGGAGGATCATCCCAGCACAGACAGCACATTCAAATGCCCTGAGAAAGACCTGGATGTGACATGTTGGGAAAATATGCCTAATCTAAGAAGACTAGAGCATTGATAACCAAGAGCACTAATGATGGGAGCTGATGAGATTCACACCTTTCAGGGCTGAGAACATCTGGCTAAAGAGGGGCTTTTAATTGGGATCAAGTGCACTGTTTATTTTTTTTCATATATTTTCTCATTTTTATTTATTTATTTATTTATTTTTATTATGAATATTCATGAGATAGAAATTACCAGAAATTGCTTTTGTACACTGTATCCCCACCCTATTGTCCCCCAACCACCATCCCCCTCCCCCTCTCCCCCCACTCCATCTTGTAGCTCTAGGAATGTTCTCTCCCTCTGTTGGATCACGGCACTACTGTGGTCTTTCTTTCCTTCCTTCCTTTCTCTCTTAGCTCCCATATCAGTGAGCACATGTGGTATTTATCCCTCTGTGTTTTGCTTATTTCACTCAGCATAAGTTTCTCAAGGCTCATCCATGTTGTTGCAAATGGGAGTATTTCATTCTTTTTTATGGCATAGTAGTATTCCATGGTATATATATACCACACTTTCCTTATCCAATCATCCATCAATGGACATTTAGGTTGGTTCCATATCTTGGCTATTGTAAATAGAGCTGCAACGAACATGGGAGTGCAGGTATCCTTTCAACAAGATGATTTCCATTCTTCTGGGTATACACCCAGAAGAGAGATTGCTGGGTCGTATGGAAGATCTATCTGTAGTTGTTTGAGAAACCTCCATACTGTTTTCCATACTGGTTGTACTAATTTACAGTCCCACCAACAGTGTATGTGTGTTCCCTTCTCTCCACACCCTAGCCAGCATTCATTATTCACCATCTTTTTGATTATAGCCAGTGTAACTGAGGTGAGGTGGTATCTCAATGTAGTTTTAATTTGCATTTCCCTGATGACTAGTGATGTTGAGCATTTTTTCAAGTATCTGTTGGTCATTTGTATGTCTTCCTTTGAAAAATGTCTATTTATCTCCTTTGCCCACTTTTAATTGGGTCATTTGTTTTTTTACTGTATAGTTGCTTGAGTTCTATGTATATTCTGGATATTAATCCCTTGTCACGTGCATAGTTAGCAAAAATTTTCTCCCACTCTGTAGGTGGTTGTTTTGCTCTGTTGATTGTTTCCTTTACTGTGCAGAAACTTTTTAGTTTGATAGTCCTATTTATTTATTTTTTCTTTTGCTGCTTGTGTTTTCAGACTCATGTTCATAAAGCCTGTGTCCAGACCTAATTGCTGAAGTATTTCACCTATATTTTCCCTTAGTAATTTTACAGTTTCAGGTCTTATACTTAAGTCTTTAATCCATTTTGAGTTGATTTTAGTGCATGGTGAGAGATGCATATTTAGTTTCATTCTTCTGCACATGAATATCCAGTTTTCCCAGCACCACTTGCTGAAGAAGCAGTCTTTACCCCACTGTAGATTTTTGTTGCCTTTGTCCAATATCAGATGGCTATAAGCTTGAGGGGTGATATTTGGGTTCTCAATTCTACTCAACTTGTCTGAATGTCTATTTTTATACCAGTACCATGCTGTTTTGATTACAATAGCTTTGTAGTATAATTTGAAGTCAGGTAGTGTTATGCCTCCGGCTTTATTTTTTTTTGCTCAGGGTTGCTTTGACTATTTGGGGTCTTTTGTTTTTCCATATGAAAAGTAAGATTGTTTTTTCCAGTTCTGTGAAGAAAGTCGTTGGAATTTTGATGGGGATTGCATTGAATCTGTACATCACTTTGGTAGTACAGACATTTTCCCAATGTTAATTCTTCCAATCCAAGAGCATGGAATTTCTTTCCATCTTTTTGTGTCTTCTTTAATTTCTTCCAGAAGTGGTTTATAGTTCTCATTGTACAGGTCTTTCACCTCTTTGGTTAAATTGATCCCTAGGTATCTTATTTTGTGTGTGGCAATTGTAAATGGGCTTACTTTCTTTATTTCCCTTTCTGTTAATTCATTATTTCAGTACATAAATGCTACTGATTTGGGGGCATTTATTTTGTATCCTGCAACCCTACTGAAGTTATTAGCTAGTTCTAGTAGTTTTTTGAGAGAGTCTTTAGATTTTTCTATATGTATTATCATGTCATCTGCAAATAGAGAAAGTTTGACCCCATCTTTTCCAATCTGGATTGCATTTATATCTTTCTCTTGCCTGACTGTTCTGGCTAGTATCTATAGTATTATGTTAAATAGAAGTGGTAAGAGTGGGCATCCTTGTCTTGTTCCTGTTTCAAATGCAGTGTTTAAATAGTAGATTAACATGACCTGAAGATTAATCTGGCTGCTGTGCCATAAATGAACATCAGGGGGACAGGAGTGACAGAGTAGGGAAGGGACCTTGATTGGGTATGATGGTCAATGAGGACTTTCTCCTGTACGGTTTCACATTTTTGAAAGTTAATATGTTCCTGTTTTCCTCAAGTAATTAAAATTGAAATTTTTAAAATTGCCTTGACTGAGAACCAGACACACATGAGCATCTTGGCAGCAGCATCTCCACTTTATCTTTCTGGTGAATCTCAATTTTTGCCTCGCCTCTCCTCACCTCTTCCCTGAAATGTAGCTTGTGATGAATTCAGATCCAGACACTAATATCTCTTCCTAATTTCCCTAAGAAATGTCAACCCTCACTCAATCCTTAGAACAAAATATGCATTTCTAAATATATATGAATTTTCTGTTTATACCTATTGTGCTCCATTTTGATCAGATTGGATTTGACCAAGAGGAATTGAAACATGGTCATAAAAAAGCCCCAACTGATCAAAGGTCACAACCCCCTCTAAAGAATGGTGGAGACCAGAGGAAGGAAAAACTGACAGTCAAATTTTCTTAAATATTCTATGGAAAGAAATTTTGCACACCTCCTTCAGTTACCAATTCCTGTCTGATCCCCTCCTCCATAAGTGCTTCCCAACTCTACCATAAACTTTCTTTTATTCCTTGACATAGAACTTTCTCCTTTTTCCTAGCTGGAAAAAAAAGAGTTGGATTGGCTAAATCTTATAACTTATTCTGTGTAGGTGTGTACTCTAATCTCATAGTTATGCCATTACTTAAAGCACCACAGTTGGAAGTATGAACATTTACAGTTTTAATGAGTAATGTCTTGAGGCTTTGCATCTATTTCTCTGACCTAAAAAAATAGTTTAAATTCCTCCATGCAAACAGTTCAATATGATACCCTAGTCCATTTCCCGGTGCACACAGTTCTGAGTCGGATGCCTGGCTAAGTTCCTCTTCTCTGTGCTCCTTGCTCTGGTTTCCCATTGATCTCACCGGTAGCCCAAATGAAAGGAAGAGTGTGTGCACTGAGTTTCACAAACAGCAGTAAATCAGGCATAGTCACTTCAGCTAACACTGAGCACCTACTACAACCCAAGCTCAAAGCGAGGGATAAGAAGAAGCAGAGATAAAGTCAACAAGGTTGCTACTGCTGTAGAGACACTGAGAATAACTGAGAATCCCAGACAGGTCATGCTTGGAGGGGCTCTTCCCTTAGTTTTGGATGGACAGCAGGAGTGAAACCTGAGTCTCTTCTCTCGCTCTCCTATCTTTTGGATGAAGCCCTGATGAAAACATGTGAAATCTGTTGATTTACTTGGACAAATTGTGTACAAGGAATCATTTATGATATTATTACACAAAACAGTCCATGACCATACTTATGATTGTGGTATTTGGGTCATGACATGATCTCAACTATAGGAATACAATTTTCAAGCATGGAGCTGTGAGATTTAATGCAGATCCTATACTACTTGGCTGTGTAATTTTGGAAGATCATCTCAATATTCTGTTCTTCATCTACAAATGATGGGCTTGTATTAAATGGCCTTCCTGCTCAGACATTTGCAATTCTTCGATTCTGTAAAATGAGGAATGATTTTCTCTGTGTAGGTGTCTATGTTATTTTAGAAAGCTTTATATGTGTTGTCTTTGGAATGTATTTGTAAATTGTTTGATGACTTAAATTGATTGACTTTTTCTTATAAGATTCATGAATTTGACAGAAAATGCATGACTAATTAAAATTAATTAATTGCATATTGAGTTGATCACTACTTTAAGTCTACATAGTAAAATTTCAGTGTATCCACAATGGGGAAGCTATTTTGGCCTGATCCTCAGAACCATCCTTGCATTTTGGTGAGATCACAGAAACAAAAGCATGAGGGGTTATTTCAGGAATACTTAGGAATAAGAGCTAATGAGAGCATCTGGGTAGTGGATTTGTGGAAAATGTAGAGAGACTAGTCACTCTTCAGGTATAAACTTAGGGCTGGCCAGTTAGCTCAGTTGGTTAGAGTGTGGTGTTATAACACCTAGGGCATGAGTTTTGCCCCTAACAGCCAGCTGCCAAAAAAGTGGGGGAGGGGGGATAAATTTAAGAGTTTCACTCCTCAGATAGCTCTAGGCCAGGAAGTCTTTTTCTTCTTGAATTCAAATATGTCTAGTCTAATGGAAAGGCAAGAAGGCAAATATTGTTTATCTTAAAAATAAGCCATGGGTAAGCAGTGATACACAGAGCCCAGTGCATTCCGATCACTCAATCTGTTTCATTGAGATATTTTAGAACAATCCCTAAGGACCAAAGCCAACTTTCTTTCACAGTAATTTATATGACCAAATCTCATAAACATATCCCTGAGCAGCCTTTTTTGCCAACGTGCGTGCAGTGAACGTCACACCTGAAAAACCTTCACAGACTAAGTAGTTGCCAATAAAACCACCTGCGGAGCTTTTCAGACTGTGGCTTTGTGGGTTCTACTCCAGGTATACCAACAGAGAATGTGTGAATGTGGAGCTCAGGATTCGGCCTTTCAAACCTTTCCTCGGGTAGTTCTGACACAACCTGTCCCCAGT